AAACTCAGTGGTTTGAAACGATTCGTTTTCGTAGCCGGGTCTAACCAGGCACACTGTTATTGAACTCGGACTTTAACAACAGTTAAGGTAGTCCAATGCTTAGATCACTCCGTTCTGGCTAGCAAGCACTGATGGTTGATGTGGGTGTTGTCCAACTACTCAACCCAATTGATCAGTAGCATGTAGCATCATGCAGTAATTTTTTTCATATTGTGTAGCGTACTTTTGAGTATATACCTAAATTTAGACGTCTGGTTGATCATTTCCATTACATTTGTCAAAACAATTAATAATCATTATTACTATAGTAGAAACTGTTTAAGTTTTCACAGGATTTGTCAATTTTAACTGCCTACTTATTATGATATGTTTTATTCTCATGAGTTTGTTTATAGGGATTAGATTTCTTTCAACTTTAACGGATTGATATCAGTTAGAGAACCATTGAAAACCATTTGGGAATACTAGACAAGTGTTCCACCCTAGTTCGGGACGCAACGGCAGTACATACCAATCTCCAGGATCCGAAAACACGACCTCCAGGTTACAAGGCAAACTCCCAGGCCATTCAACCACCCAATGGCCGATGAATTCTAACTTCTACCAATTCTTGATTCTCCTCACTACCAACCGCGTGGACCTCAGTGATCACTACTTCACACTAGAACTCCAGGCAACTTCGTCCTGCAACTAGTCACTTGAGAGCAGCAGATTAATTTTGAATAGTTGATTTTCAGGAATTTGATTTGCTTTATTCGCCTAATGCTTATGATACTTTTGTTGTGAACTGGTAGCAGATTTCCCCATTTCTGACTACTGTTCATCAAAATGGTATCCTTAATTCTCTGTTGTTGTTGCCGTAGTCTTCATTGTCACCCTGCTAACCCATCAATCGACTCCCCCACCCTGATATCCACCGCTACATTCTATCCCATTCACGTTTATATCTGGCCTGTTTAGAGTAACTCCACAACCACACCAAAAATGGAAGCTCAGGAGCTTCAGGTCACGAGACGAATCCGATGATTAATTAATTCTAATGTCTCGTTAAAAGTTATAACTACTTTCAATTCGCACCATAGTGTCAAAGCCATCCATTGCCACCATAATAAGTGAGAATCTGTCCTCCCATTCAACTTGGTAGACTATAACGATCATAACTTATCGTTTACAACTAGATGGTTCGATTCATCAGTGCAAACTTGCTGAATAGTTCCAAGCGATAAGGAAAAAGCTGTCCAGCACTTTATGTATTTCAATAGTTTTGTAAATGATATTGGCTCTTGGAGAAATGCATTCAAATACCTACAACCTTATACCTCAATCAATGTTTAATTAAGCATTCTGAATGTCTGCGCATATTCCGCCACTATATGGTAGTACGATATGTGCAGAGAGTAAGCCTCAGTGGTAGAATGCTTGGCAGTGCGATGTGGGAAATCTGGGTTCGACTCCCGGTGGATGGACTCCTTAAACCTTGCTCAATAGGTGGTAGTAGTAAGCCTAATAAAGGGCAAAGATTGGGAATGAGGAGGCTAGCAACTCTAACGAGTAAACAAAAAACAGTGACATCACCACTACTGAAACTTCAAACCCGAAGCTTCGAGCACCATGCTCCACTTGGAACGTCAAGGAATGGAAAAAGTGTGGAGAATGGAAACACCTGATGAGTATTACTGAATTTCATATATGCATTTTCTCTACAAATTTTGCTCGAAGGACTTTTTATTACAACGTTCTGAAATTTCTATCATCGATAAAGCAATTTGATGCTTCCACTTGAATTGGGTTCATTGTATTTGAATTTTTATTCATTTGAGAACATCAATGAAATATCAGACATTGTAAGACCTCTTAAATGTAGAAACTTTGTTAGAGGACAATTATTTCCTGATTTTTGTCGGTAAGCTGTGAAATTTTCAAAAACTGTCCCTCGTCTATTGAAATAACATTTTATCATATTGTTTTTTCCGTTTGTGTGTCAGTGGCACAGAGGTAGAATGCTCGCCAACCATGCAGGTGGTCCAGGGTTCGATCCCCGGCCAACGCACTTCTTTACCCTGCTAAGCCAGTATAGCCATGAGACCTGGCCATTGAGAGTGGAAGACATGAAAAGATTAGCTGTCTTCGACCATAGGTGTCTGCATTCTATCTCCCGTGTGAAGTGGTATAATAAGGTGAGCAATATTGAGGTGAGGCATCGGTCGAGTGCAAGGTAAGGAGGGGAAATCAATCGACGAGGCTGTGAAATAACATCGACTGAGATGGTTAGGACATGTGTTACGTATGCCTAGTCATCCCCTTCCTCGACAACAGGCAATGTTAGTTGATATAGGGTCAGGCTGGAAAAGAGCTATCGGCGGTCAAACCCAAACATGGCACCAGTCAATGAAATCCACAACAGTTAGTCTAAGCCACTTATTGAGGTGTAGACTTCCTGACTGGTTTGGGTCCTCGGGACGGGAGAAACCAATGGTTGGAAACAATTGATGAAATGGCTCAAAATCGTTCTCAATGACAGCGCAGATGCATCCACTCCTTGTGACTTATGATTTCCAATGAAACTGTTTTGTTCTTCGTTATTACTATTCCTTTGTCTCACACCTCTGTTTACTGTCTATATTATGCATTTCTTCTACTTTCTTCTCTTGCTTTGTGTGTTACATGGAGTGTGGCGACTTGAACTGTCGCACATATGTGCAAAGTTCTATGTCGAAAACAGACAGACAGATAAGCCAATAATTATATTATTATTATATTAATATCATTGTTTCCTTTAGTTCCTAGAGGAACATTAGCCTTCATCCACACGTCTCCATTGCGCTCGGTTCTCTGCCAACGTTTTCAACTGGTTGCACGTCTGCCCACACGCTTTCATCTCCTCTTCAAATGACCTCCTCCATGTTGCCCTTGCACTGACGACCAACTCGCCACTGTCATTCGGGTTCCACTCAAGCGATAGCCTAGCGTGTGATGTCACTTGATGGTTTTCTCAGAGTATGGCCAATCCACCTTCATTTCTTCCTGCATATTTGTTGCACAATCGGTTCCTGCTGGGTTGGTTCGCTCCCAGAGATAAACAGGGAAGCTTGAGTATGAGACGAGCAACTCCATTCCGTAGAAATCAATACCACTGTTACCGAAACTTCAGAGCTCTAGCTTGAAGCCCTATATTCCCCTGGGAACGTAAATGAATAAAAAAATTCGTTTTGAATGGAATATAGTGCTTCACCAAGGTACAACTCGTTTACAGTCGGCTCTCTGTCAATCACTCTCAACTAGAGATCCATTACAGCCTATAAGCTTTGATTTTTAACTCACATAATCTCCTTCATGTCACCCTCTGATGTATGCCCAACTCCGTCGCATACCATTCATATCCCAGCCAGGGGCATGACTAACAGTCTCTTAACAGCATATGTTTAATCCATCTTCACTTCCTGCAGTGTACTCGTTAGTTTATAGGCTCTTGATTGGTTCAATCATCAGGGTTCCTTGTTACTTATCCCATCTGGTCTTTAGGATTGAAGTGCCGAAGGTAGATGCTGATAAAAGTGCCGCATTCTGTCGGGAATGTATTTCGTGTGACGCAGCACTAACTTGACACTACTGTTGAAAATCCGGATCTTGTTTCTTATCTTCAGTGCAGCTGACTTCCACACTGATTTCAAAGCAAAGCAAAGCATATCCATCTTCTTTTTGTGACCCTGCCTGGCTTTAAAATTCTCATCTATATCACGTTATTTCAACTGAAGGCACATATATCCGTGTATCCTAATTTTAATCACGCGTTCTACTTCCAACAACAACTACGGATGACTATGGAAGGGGGATTTTTCGTCATCTGTCTTCTCAAGTTATAACACGTTTGGCTTGTTGCCTACTGCATAGGGATGTAATTGTCAGTATATTAATAATAATAATAATTTTCGAGTTTTCGTTTGCAGGTGATTGGTTGATTTCAAGTCTGATGACTAACTAACTGCAGTTGGAGAGCCAGTGAAAACAATCTGAAAGTACTGGACAACTGTTCCGTCCTTGTTTAGTACCCGAAACAGGGGGGTCGAACCCAGGACCTTAGAGTTACAAGACAAGCCCTTTAACTACTCAGCTATCAATTATAACTTCTACCAATTCGCGATATATATATATATATATATATATATTACGCAGCAACTAACCAATGCATCTCACCGCCAAGTATCTATCCTCAAATTCAACCAAGTTGGTAGATCCCACTAGTCATGATTCGCCCCCCCCCCCCGCGATTAGAGGAATTCAAACAGCTTCATCGTGTAGGCAGTCGCGAAGCACTGAGCCCATTAGATTAGAATTTCAGGTTTTGGTGAGCGATCAAACTTGAATTAATAATAGTAATAATAATAATGAGCCCGAATAGCTGAGTGGTAACGTCTCTGACTGCAGCCCCACTGGGTCACGCGGTTTCGAATCTCAGAAGGAAGGACATGAGTTCCTTCAAGGTAGTTGCAGATACGCCTTGCTGACTGCACTGGTGAGTGCCAACTAGCACGAAACCTAGGTTGAGCAAGACTTCCTACGGCCGATTGCCTCCAACCATCTAATACCAATAGAACTTTTGTGCATCGGTGGCACAGTGGTTAGGACGCTCACCGACCATGCACATGGTCCGGGGTTCGATCCCCGGCCGCCGACGCACTCCTTTACCTCGGTAAGCCAGTAGTAAGACTGGTAAAGAGGGAAAGTTGAGTTGCTACAGAAACTTCAAGCCTCTAGCTTGAAGCCCTATGTTCCACTGGGAACGTGAAGGAATAAAGTGATAGTAACAATAACAGAAATCAGCGGTACCACGTTTTCATTTATCGAAAAAACAATTTTAAAAAAATACCCAGGAAATAACACAAATAATACAAGGCAGAGGAAGAAAACAAAAATATAGAATTGCACATAGAATAACTATCAATCCCCGGAATGAAAGGAACAGTTAGTTAGAATTGGCTTACTCATCACACAATTTAACCCCCCCCCCCACACTCACACACGCACATACACACACACACACCAAATAGTATCATAACAATCTCCCAGAGAAACAATTAAGGGACAAAATGCAATCAATCAAGTCATTACATAATCAATACATATATATGTATGCCTAAGCAAAATATCACTTAGAAATAAGTGTCACCATAATTGAAGGAATCACGTACACACTGAAAGACATCCACGGAATTTCAAATACCACTACTGTTACTACTACTACTACTGCTTATAATAATAATAATATCAGTAATAACAAAAATAATAATGCTGATAATCACTCATTGGAATGATCTGAACTGGTTCTTGTTCCACGATGATTTCGACGAGTTTCCTCATGATGATGATGATGATGTTGGTGATTGTGATTATTATGATTAAGTAATAACCTCAATTGACTATCTCCATCCATCTTCCCCTTCTTCTTTTCCCTGATAGTTTCACTAATAAAATGACCAATCAGCGTACAGCTGAGTAAAATACTCAAACACAATACAGCTGTACTTAGCACACATGAATATCTCCAAAATAGAGCTTGATGATGTAGCATAGCTATCAGCGATGGCATTAATAATTGACCAAAATAATAAGCTAGCTGAATATTATATGAATGTGAGCAGAACAGATTTGAATTGATATGTGGTGTCAACAAAGTGCCTGAGAATGTTGATGACAATCCAATACCAATGCCGAAACAGAAACTACCAATAAACCAAATTAAATAAGGATGACTTAATGTACTACTACTACTGGCCAAGGGTGCTGTTGAACATCTTCCTGTTGAAACAGACAAATGCGTCAAAGCGATAGCACTGATAACACAGATTAAACATCCACATAATTGTATAATGGTGATGATTGAGGGTTTCGAACTTCTGGGGAGAGAGAGAGAAAAAAAGAGACAAAAAACAAGATATTAACGGAGGCAAACAGTTGAAGAAATACCTGAATATGTAAGCAAAAAATACACCAATCATACAACTAGTTGATTCTAAGCCTGGAAAGAAAGAGAGAAATTTCAACGTAGGATTAGCGATCCCCTACAGGAAATTCAAAACTAAGAGAAAAACATAAAAACTATGTTTATGCTTCTCTGGAATCGCGGGTGGGTGAAAGCCTCCGGGAAGCCAATCAGTCGAACGATATGTCTTCTTCCAATGAAAGTAAAAATAACCATGACGGCATGCATGGAACGTCTACGCAATGTTAAAGGCTGAATGGCAAAGTTGCTCAGATTGTAGGAAAAATAACACGATGTGGTATAAGAACTGTTAGAAGTCTATCAGAGAGAGTTGAATGTAAGTGGATTCTCTCTCCGGTTACCCAGAATACAACCAACTATGACGACTGGATCTAGACCTCAAGCTTCTCAACACTCATCAGTAAGGCGTATCAATATAAAACTTTGAAGGAACTGGTGTCTGCAGAGAGATTCAGACCCCCGTACTACCATCAACCATGACAAAAACAACAGATATGGATCAATTCACACGGTAATAAGTGCGAAATGGTTTTGAGGTAACATTAACTGTTCTTCCCTACCTTACCAAGAAAAGTTGTTTTCATAGAAATCGTAAGCTATTTCATTGATTATTTTCACGTAGTGTCGGACTGTTGAAGGTGACACTCATGGAATCCTGTGCAACTTGGTTAAGTGCTTTATTGCCACCTGTCAACAAGACGTACCTACTAATATATGTGTAAAACTTGTGCACTGGGGTAGTAAGTAATTCCATATTAGTTTGTTTATTAGATGTATCACACACAGTGAGTGAAACAGTATTATTTACTGGATGACACAGTTTCGAACAAAATTTATTGGAGTTCATAATCATATCAATTATAATCACAAGACTTCGAAACTTCAGTTTTATAGTTTTCTTTGTCCTCTCCTATTTATCGTCGACGGGATAGTAGAATTTTCCAGATATCCAAGTGGACAGGTGTTGAATCATTCCTATTACACACATATTTGCAGTTGATAAATTAGTCAGAAAGTATGTAGGGAAATGCAAATATAAAATAAATAATGGTAGTATTGATAGTGATAATAATAATAATAATGGTAATATTAATGACGACATGCATGTCAAATATGTGCTCAACAACACCAACAATAAGGAATCTAAATTATCAGTAGTAATTCCATACAACGAAGGAACCTCAGAAACCTTAGGAAGAATTCATAACAAGGTAGGAATAAAAGTGGCATTCAAACCCTCCAAACTCAATTAGAAACAAGCTTTGTCAGTTAAAGGATCAGTCCGGTGGAGCCTTTAAAACAAAACAATTCAGTTTATATAATACCCTGCTGGAATGATTGTCAGGTCAAATACATAGATCAAAGTAGTAGAGCAGGGGCAGTCAGACTAGCTGAACATAAAAACCTAGCAAAATATAGATTGGTTGATCCAAATAAGATAAGAAATCTAGAGAATAGTTCAGCTATAGCACTACATGCAGTTGCACACAACCATACAAAGGATGGGATAGGATAACAGTTTTAAAAGCTAATGTCACAGGGTGGAGGGAGAGATTGATAACAGAAGCTTTGTTTATCGAATCAACTGCAAATATATGTAACAGGAATGATTCAACACCTGTCCCAGATATCTGGAAAATTCTACTACCCCAACGACGACAAATAGGAGAAGACGAAGTCGTGTGATTACAATTGATATGATTATGAACCACAATAAATTTTGTTCTAAACCTTGTCATCCAGTAAATAATACTGTTTCACTGTGTGATACATCTAATAAACAAACTAGTATGGAAAGACGTATCTACGACCCCAAGGGAACTGATATCTCCACAGATTCAACCATGTGTTACTTAATGTTATAGTTAGAAAAATAACCACTGAATTACTCATCTTATGATTAACTGTACTGGATACCTACAGTGAGTGATAGCTGGGGAGGGGGGAAGGGGAACCATTACTATGTTGTTTTAGCCTGAACAACGTCTCCAAACACTCAGCTCGGAGAAGACAGAGTAAACATCTTGCTCTTAGTTGGATTAAATTAAAGGTGCACGGCCATAAAAAGTCACAACCAAGATAATGATATTTATATATGATCATTTACCTCAACAGGCTAGTTTCAATTACAGGCGGTACTACTGAAGATGTCAAAGCAAGACAGGTGCTCACTAAAAACATTTCCAACAGTACTTTGATTGGACTTTAGTTAGCAACTAGTGTAATGTGTGTGTGTCTAGTCATTTCTTTGGTGAAGAGTGAATTCTGTTAGTCTACCATGCCACTAGGTGGCTTGCCATCACGGTGGTGCACTGTGACCTGTTGATATCAGATGGTTGGAGGCAATCAGTGGGAAGCCTTACATGAACTAGGTTCCATGCTAGCTGGTACTCGTCATCAATGCGTATCTGGAATCTCGAAGGGACACATGTCCCACCAAACAAAGTATTGGACACATTACACTAGTTCCTGACAAGTGTCCAATCAAGGTATCCAATACGGTCCTAAAGGAGGTCTATCACGAGCTCAAATAACTCAGTGGTAACTTCTCTGAATGTCACATTGGGTAAAGTTGGTTTAAATCTCAGAAAAGACATGAGTTCCACCAAGGTCGCAGGTACGCCTTGCTGACTGGTGAGTGCCAACAAGCAGGAAACCTAGGTCATACGAGGCTTCCTACCGATTTTCCCCAACTGTCTAATAAGTCCAACAGTTGGTGTGATCACAGGAAGTAATTTTCCTTAAAAAGTAATACCAAAATCAAAAACTTATCATAGTGTGTGTAAATAACCATTTGAAGAGCAAGTATAATTAATTGATCTATTTTATAATGAAACGTTGACCGAGAAGTAATTTTGGATACTACTTCAACACTACGGTGTACCTGAAGTCTTTATCAACCTCATTCAACAACTGACTATATGACAGTGCGACGTGTCAGGTGGTTCACAACGGATAACACACTCAGTGAGGCGTTCAAAGTGAACACAGGAGTAAGACAAGGCAGCCCGCCTATTATCACCGATGATATTCCTAATTGTGGTGAACGACTGCATTATACGTCAGACTGTTGGGAGTGAGGAGTCAGGAATACGCTGGACGACCGATAAGAAGAGTCTAGAATGTCTGGATTTCAGAGATGATATATGTCTAATGTCACAAAAAGTCGAAGACTTATGGGCAGGCGAAAACAAACAAACTGACTGAAGAGGCAGGCGAAAACAAACAAACTGGCTGAAGAGGCAGGCGGTAACGACAGGACTGCAGGTGAACATGGAGAAGAAGGAGTTGATGAAAATAACCAACGAACTGCAACAACAACAGAAACCAGCACCTTCACTATCTGGCTAGGAATCATCGTTTCAACCATAGGTAGTCAGAACGGATGAAGATGTCAAAGCTAGCCAGAATCGGAGGCGCAAGGTACGCCTTCATCAATCTGAAACCAGTTTGGTCATCTTCTGCACTCAGTTAGCATAAAGAACAAGATTCGGATTTTCAATACAAATTTGAAGTCGGTCACTTCTTCTATACGGGTCAGAAACTTGGCCAGTGTGTCACGAAAAGGATTTTCAACAGTATGCTGAAGACTTTTATCAACAGCTGTCCACTTCACTGGCTCCATACTGAATATAAAATGGCCAGCCGGCCGGCCAGGAAGAATTAGCAACAAAAAACTCTGCCGATGAACAAACCAACAGGCAAGAGTCGATTGAGAAGGCCATCGATTGACACCGCGCTCATTGCAGACCATAGCTCGAGTGGAATCCCAATGGGAAGTGACGAGCGGGTCGTCACTTCGATGGTGACATGGGGGAAATCGTGTGATGAAGAGATGAGAGAGAGTTTGGGCAATGGTGGACCCAGCTGAAGAGGACAGCAGAAAATAGACCAAAGAGTGGAGATGTGTTGTTGAAGCCCTATGTTCCCCACTCGGAACCCACAGGAATAATAATAATAATAATAATAATAATAATAATAATAATAATAATAATAATAATAAAAAGACATTTCATAGATATTATTTGATCAAATATCTTACTTGATATGATTCCGGCGTAATTTCCGCAATGCAATTTTACGTTTACAAGATAATTGATCAGTTGAACTATTGGATGATGATGATGGCAAGGTGTGCAGTAGATCTGGCCATTTTATACTGATTATCCCGAAGCGTATTAAATAGCCGACAAGATCACCAAACCAAAATACACTGGTAACAATTATTGCCAAAGTCTAGTGTACATGGTAGGAGAGAAGAAAAAAATACAGTTAATAAAGATGAACAGTAATCATCAATACACACACACATAGTGAGTAATGCCTCACATCCTTATAAAAAAAACTAATCCGTATGCCACATCGTTGATAAAAAATATAACCCTAAAAATATATACTACTGATTAATTGACGTGAGTAGTTGAACACCGCTATGACATCAAATAATCGGTAGTATTTAGGTAGTCTCGTGGAAATTTTACTTCGGACTGTGTAAATTGCAAATCACTAAAATAATTCACAAATTGCGAATTGGATTTACACATTAACCTGGTTTAAGACTCTTTCACGTGTTGAGCTCATCTCTCCAGTGGCTTTCAATGAACCTTTCTAATAACCTATTTGAAACACTTGTATCATGATTATTATTATGAGAGATTAAGGTGTAACTATCTAATTTAGAATAATAATAATAATTTGCTTTATTCCACAAACAGTACTAGTGGTACAGTGTGGAATTTTCAGTACATATCTACAATATTTGCATCTAATTTTATCAAAACATTTGAAAGGAGTATTTTCAAAATAAATAAATATAAAGGCAACAACAACAAAAACAAAAATAATTTTAAAAAATGTGAAAAGAATACCAAGAAGTAGAAAGGAAAATAAAACAACATATAATAATATCTTAGTATTGGGTAGTGGAAGCTGTGATATGTTTATGCATGGTGAGAGTAAAGCTATAGTCATACAAGAAGTTATGAAATGATATTTAAGAATGTTTATCGCCAAGAAGATCAGTTAATTTGATTGAACAACACTAAACAGTCATAAAATAACATTTCAAGGTTTTTTATTGACAGCTCTAATGCAGTGTTTGTGGTGGTAGTGTGAGTAATCCTGCATAATACAAAATTTTAAGGTGATGATAATGGCGTTCACAACCAATGATTGTCAGTTAATATTGCCGAGAAAAATAAAAGAAAAAAACAACCACAAAAACTAATAATTACATGATGTTTAATGATAGGAAAATTTTGTAATACTCATAGTGCTAATATAGTCGAAACCAGTAGATACACAAAAGAAGGAATACAGTAAAGTACAAAATAGTAAGCCAATGTTAATAATTTAGGTAGCTAAGTATGTTTAAGCAGGAGTTCAATATAGAATACAAAATAAGAGAGAAATTAAAGAGCCAAAAATTATGTTATCAACAACAATGCAGGTCATAGGTTTCGCGCTTAACATTGTCTCTGTCACTTGGAACACGGGCCAATTATGGTATCGTTGAGTTCCTGTACTTGGTTGTACGAGCATAGATTATTTTATACTGATTTCTGGTTCTACTTGATGAGATACAAGGCGAGAGTTGGGAATAGAAGAGGTGTTGGGGGTCGGAGAGTATGGTTTCAGACCATTTTTCGCATGTATTCAGATGCCTTTCAACTAATGTAGTGACGAGCTGACTGAGTTTTACACCACTAGTCCTACTAACTACCTTCAACATCCTTCTCAGGATGGTATGGTCCTTTTTCAGTAGCCCAGGAAAGACTAACGGGGAGCAGTAAAGTAGAATAGGTAAGATACAAGAGTTGACAAATTGTGAAAGTAGAGTTTGGGTGATTCCAGTTTTTTAATGTAGTAGGTTAGACAGAACACTTTCTTAGAAATCGTTAGAATATGAGATGTCCAAGTAAGGTCGGAAGATAGAACTAGACCGAGGTATCTTCTTAAAATATGTCCTTATTGTGTCAGTGGTTACACCATAGTTGGATGATCATCAATCAAGAGGTAGATCCTGGTTCAGTTTCTTACCGATGCACTCCTAGGACTTCTCTCCTGGATGGTTGTGCAATCCTAGAAAATGGAGAATGCCACGCGTCAAGGATAGCAACCATCACACCCGTTAAAAACAAAAAACTACCGCGACTGAAACTGTAAAGCTAGTAGAGGATGGAAGGCCTACGTTTTTACTCAGAATACAAGAAATGCAAAGAAAAAAATTGATCCCCTTAGTATTAGTATGACTACTGCATTCTCTTTGGTGTCAACCTAAGTTACGTCAGAAGAAAGCGTCATCCAATAAAATCGACACAGTATGCTGTAATGAATTTTTAATCCTCCCACTCTTCTTCTGGGCTTGCAGGTCGTTCAAAGGAAACTCTTCAACCTCTTCCACGAAGAGTATGAATTTGCCCCTCCCCACCTACTGACTGACTGGTTTCAACATAGAACTTTGCACCGATGTGCACCAGTTCGAGTCGACACACTGCACTTAGCACACAAAGCAAGAGAAAGTAAAAGGAAATGCAAAATAGAGACAGTAAACAGAGATATGAGGTGAAAAGAATAGTAATATCGAAGAACCCCATATAATTTTATTGGGTATTATAAGTCATAAGGAGTGGATGCATCTGAGCTAGTCACTGAGAACGATTTTGATCCATATCACAAATTGTCTCCAGCCTTCACCAGGTTTTACCGTCCCAAGGACTACAACCAGAAAGTCTACACCTTCCTACGTGGCTAGTTCAAACTAACTGTTGTCGATTTGATTGACTGATGAAGCTATGTTTTGGTTTGACCACCACTCACTAGCTCTTTTCCAAGCTGATCTATCCTATGTCAACTCACACTGCCCATCGAGGAAGGCGATGGCTGGGCAGATATGCGTAACACATGTCTTAACCATCCCAATCGATGTAACTTCACAGCCTCGTTGACTGATTCCCTCTCCTTACCTAGCACTCAACGCCTAACCTCAATATTGCTCACCCTATTATACCACTTCACACGGGAGATAGAACACAGGCACCTATGATCAAAGACACCTAGCCAGTCTTTTCGTGTTTTCAACTCCCAATGGCCAGGTCTCACAGCCAGTCATAAAGGAGGATGGGGCGGACTGCTGAGGAGTACATACACCCTTTGGTCGATAGGCAGCCGGATATCACGCCTACTGTCATATGCGAAACGAACCTTCTGTATCCGTGCTGAGATTTCGTCAGCCATCAACCCGTTGAGGCTGGTTGATGCAACTTCAGTAATAAGTGAAGCAGTCAACACGCTTCACCAACCACTTCACTGCCTATTTTCTAAGCTAGGAATGAGTCAGTGTAGTTCAGTCGTGTAGCACCATCTTACACATTTGGTAGCAGGAGTGAATGGCATGCCAAACATTCGCAGGTGTTCAGGAGACTCTGTATCATGTCAGCGTCTTTACCACCTAGTAGGACTATATTATTATTACTATTGTTTCCTTTAATTCCTAGAGGAACATAGGGCTTCAGCCGTGCGTCTCCATTGCGTTCGGTTCTCTGCTAGTCTTCACCTGGCTCCAAGTTTTCCCACACGTTTTCATCTCCTCTTCACATGACCTCCTCCAAGTCACCCTCGCAGTGACGACCAACTCGCCGCTTGCCTAGTGATGTCACCTGATGGTTTCCTCAGAGTATGGCCAATCCACCTCCATTTCTTCCTGTCTATTTATTTCACAATCGGTTCCTGGTTGGTTCGCTCCCAGAGATCCCTCCCTGTTGCTGATCTTTTCTGGCCGGCCATCTGATCTTGAGTGGTATTGAGCGGAGACAACTGTTAATGAAGGTCAGTAGTTTGTTTGAGATGCTCTCCATGACGCGCAGTGCAAGTCTCTGATCCGTATAGTGAGTAGTACTGACTTCATATTGGAGTTGAAAATCCGGATCTTATTTTTGATGCTGAGTGTTGCTGACCTCCACACAGACTTGAGAGTAGTGAAAGATTGTCTTGCTTTTCCGATTCTTGCTTTGATATCCTCGTCAGTTCCACCTGTAGATGAAACGGTGCTTCCCAGGTAGGTAAAAGGGGTTGTTTCTTTCAGGTTCCTTCCATTTATGCTGATCGTTGTCTGTTGCTGTTGGTGTTGCCTAGGAATCTTCATCATCTCTCTTTTCGCTATTTTCACCTGAAGTCCTATCTTTGATGCTTCTTCTATCGCCAACTTGTTGCTTTTTACTTGCATATCTTCTAGTGTATGGGAAATCAGACATATATCATCGGCGAAGTCCAGATCCTCCAATTTTGTTTGTGTGAGTCCATTTTATTCCTGTTTCCTCGCTGCCCGCCGCTGTTTGTCACATTATCCAGTCTACTGCAATCAGGAAAATCATTGGCGGCGACAGTAAACAGCCAGCTTGTCTTACTCCTGTCATCTGCAATAATTTACTATATAGGTTAATTCAAATTCAATAAAAAACTGATTAACAGGCAGAAAAAAATAATAATAATAAACGCATAAAACACTTTCACTTACTGGTGACCAAAGCAGATAACGTAAAGTGAAACTGGCCACAAATCCACCATAAGTTGTCTCTAAACCACTATTCAAAAATACAGATAACAATAGCCAAAATTCAGATGGCCATTCAATTCTCGGCCAATGTGTATCAAATATTGACTTATTGATAATCATTAGCATCATTTGTGTATCAATAGAGTCACCATCATTATGATTATTATTATTACTATTGGTATTTGTAGTATTATTGTTATTATTATTATGATTATCACTATTATTCTCATCACTGAAACTTGGGTGTTTTGTCGATTTGAATGAAGTGTACTGAGCTGTTGTTGACGGATTCCCTGGCAGTATACTACCACCACCACCCGTACTACTACCGTTGGAATAATCATTCAACTCAGAATCAGAACAATAATGATAATCATGTTCTGCTGCAGTATTCGTATAGCCAGTCTTTCGTCGATTCCATAGTTCATCTGAGTCAGATTCATTTTCATCACCTGCAGATTTTATAAAAAAATACACAAATGTGTATGTGTTTATGGTTTAAGAGAAGAGGAAAAAGATTAAAGATGAATATCACATTGCTTAGAATAAAAATCATCATCTCGCTGGTTTACAGTATCAGAAGAGGAATTTGAAGTAGTAACTGTTTAGAAGAAGAACTTCTATTTCTCAGAAATATCTTGGCTCAAAATCGATACCCTGTAAGTTTCGTAGAGAAGAAAATGAAGGCAAAGCCCAAAAGAGAAGAATACGCTTCCTTACTAAAGAAAACACTTCATTTGAATTTGAACATTGAGAGACTTAGCTGCGGATATCCTTAAGAGGAAAAACTCCAGTTTCCTAAAGACCTTTCCTGCAGCAACTCTACGAGTGACATTCTCTAGCCACCCACTGCTTCTAAGCAATGTGAAGGATACACTTCTGCATATGACCACTTTAATATGCATATATCAGTTCACCTAATCCTGTGGAGCTAGGTCACTCTTTGCGGGTCCTATCAAAACTTATTAATGAACATTACCCAGCATAATTGGAATGAGGAGGCACTGGTTCACAGTCAGAAGAGCCATAATCAAAGAAACAGACTAATCTGTACGTCATTGATTCCACGTTAGAACTCTCTCGCCAACCCCGTAGGAGGTCTGGATCCGATTCCCGAATGATGCACTGCTAGACCTTGTATCATTAACTAGTCAGTAGTAGTAGGTCCTGAAAACAGGCATGGTTGGACATGAGGTCAACGACCCCATTCCGTAAGAACAACATCACCATTAATGAAAACTCACGGTTTGACATCCTATGTTCTACTCGGAACGCAAAAGGAGTGATATCTTAATAAACAGATTGATCTAGAAGCATAGATTGATAAAAGTTTGATTACCACCTCATACTATGCGACAAATGGCATGAAGAATAAAATATTGCCCAACCGATAGCTGCTACCTTGACATAGTGATGATCGAAGTTGCATATTGTAATGACCCAACGAGCTATACTGGCTGGATCGAACGTTCCTGCAGGTCGTATCATATTGGAAAAGTTGCTTGGATTGCCGTTAGACTAAAAGTAGTTACCAGTATACTATTAGCCATTTACACTGTGTTGGGGGTGCTGTTAAGGGACAGAGATGTAACAGCAGTAAATCGTTTCCTTCGGACGACCAGCAAGCCAACTATTGCTGTGTCTCCACTTTGATGCGGGTGGGGAATTAGCAAAGGTAAACTCCGACAATTGAATATCTCAATTTATTTTGCGACAGTTAGTAGCTGGTGATAAGATCTCAATACCCATACAGCTAAAAAAAACACCTATAACAGGCCATGTGTGAGCGGTCTCCAGCAGTTGTCCCCTGGACTCTGTAGTCATGCATTACTAATACTCCTTTTCCTCTAGGTACTTCAAGAAGGAATCAACATCAACAGTGTACGCGGCAGAGGATTCATAACTGTCCGCACACTTTCGCGAACACATGAAGCCTTGGTTGCAGGATTTTATCATGAGCTGACTTTGGTTAGAGAACCACTGGAAAACCTGGGAGTACTGGACAGCAAGCTGTTTCGTCCTAGTTTGAGACTCTTCACAGTACCCGTCCACCGGGTTCCCTACAAACCAATACTTGAACATGAAGCTCCCCTGACCGTCACCCACCTTCACCTGCATCATTTTCATCATCTTCCTTCCCTTCTACGTTTAATACTACCTCACAGATATACCCCTCATATTCCCTTAACTGTGCGACTCAGTCATTCAGCCAATAGTAGAATGCTAGCCATCCACGCCGCAAGTGGTCCCGGTTTGATTTCCAGCCGACGTACTTCTAAGCCTCGCCTACTTTAATAGCCAATGGCAAAGCAGGAAAATCAAAGCCACCGCCACTGAGACTTGATAGCTGAGAGCTTGAAATCCCATGCTCCAAACAGAATGCAAGGGATGAAAAACAAAGAAAAACGAAGCATTCATTTCGCAAATACATCTGAAGAGTCTTAAGAGAATTTACTGTTCATCCAGGTTTCCACCTTTCCGCTTTATTAACACTCTACCTACCTGATCTGTCCAGTAGTCTAGATTTAATCCCTTCATCAGAATTATTATAACTACCATTGTCAGAATTCACCCGACGGATATTATTGGATGATGTCATCATCATCGCCGCCTGTGGGATAGGTATCAATTCATAACCATGGTCATTATCATTATCATCATTACCATCAAGTATTTGAAGACCGAAAACACGTATAAATATTGATTTACACCAACTTGTCAATGGGATTGTCAAAATCCATGGGATTACACTGATAATACACAATAATAAATAAACTCTTTGTATTGATTCCATCGGTTGTTGAAATGGTAGGATTAAAATATGATTTAGATACGACTTATCCAACAAGTGTTCAGCGATACGATGTCGTTTTCGTACGGTTGCATTCATCAAACCAATGTCGCTGCTTTCATCTGCGTCGCCTCCAACTATGGCAGGAGGAGTAGTTACCGGTGTCGTTGTTGATAATAAAGATGTAGGTTTATAAAATATAAAATGAATCGATGAATTGTTGTCTGTTGAATTCAGCTTATCTGTTATATTATATATGTGAAATATTACTCCAGTTTCATTCTGCACCGGAGTCGAACTGTGACCCTGTGATATGTTGGCTTTATGATTACTATTCTCGACAACAATACTAACCGTCTCATTAATGTTCTGGCGTGTAGGTATACTAGAATTCTGCACATTGGGTGCAGGTATATGATCTACTTGAAACGAAATATGCGGCAGCGATGAATTCTGATGGTGTGAAGCATTTCCATTGACAACACCATTGTTACTGATATTATTACTAATTAAAGTTTGATTGATCCCATCTAAAATTGAACCACTTCCCAAGATAACAGTAGTGTTCAATGCCTTTTCTTTTAATTCATCTTTTGATTGATTTGTAACACTTGACAATGGTGTCGATGGTGGTGACTTTTGAACAGTCGAAGAGGAGGTTTGATCATCAGCCACCTTGTCAATTTGATGTTCTTCACCGATTTTTTTCATTTTTGACGCTGCTTTACTTCCATCCGCTGAAGAACTATCCTGGTTCAAGTGTTTTGCATCATTAATTGATGGCTTTTTTACACTTGTAGATGGTTGTACAGGAGTGGAAGAAACATTGTTCAAGGTTTTATTATTATTTTGTTGGTCTATTCCAATACTGGTGGACTTGATCCCATTCGATAAAGTGGAATTAATCGCCACCAAACTTGAATTTGTATAATTCTTAAAAATGCTATCATTGTTCAAGTGTTCAATGGTTTTAATTGCTGATGAACTAATATTCGCCATGTTTGGCGCCAAAGTTGTATTTGAAATATGCCGCGGGATACGAATAATTCGAGACATTTCATCATGCTTATCTTTTTGAGTGCTTTCAATAACTCCAATTAAATGTATCTGATGATGAGATGTATTTTTAGTTGTTGTTGATATTTCATTGGGTGGTGGAATTTGGATTTCATGGGGAAGCTGATTAGAACGTACTACACCCATTGATAGAATAGTGTGAGAATCTGGTTCAATGAATAAAATCAGGTATGGTGTGAAGACACATCCAAGTAGGAATATGATTGTCAGATATTGTGGTATACTATGAAACCAGTTTTTCTTATTCCAATGATAATACACACATGCTGAAAACAGAAAGAAAAGCAGAAGGGAGGGAAGATTTTTACGGAATTCATAACAATCATAGTCGGTGACTTTTAATATACAGAAGCCATAAAAGCTGCCAACATCCTACCTGACAATCAACCACCTTCTTGAAATCAGTCAGACAGGTGCGGGAAACACACACACCCACACGGCATCCAAATGGGACTTCTAAAAGGGAGATACAGTATAGACATCTGTGCGCCTAGTCTGTTTTGTGTGAAGATAACTTCCCCTATCATCTCGGAATATGTTCTCAATTAAACAGCAGTTGGAAGAATGAGTCATTAGTTTTTTTTTGAAGGCAAATAAACGATATCGTCTGTGGATTACCATAGTTATACTATTCTGTGCAACTTTTTTTATCAAGCGACAATTTAATGAAAAAGGCACAACTGACAACAGTAAAGAATAGACAGCACGGTCAAATTGTGGTGAAAGCTGTCTGCTAGCCAAAATTGGTCGACAGCAGTGTTTACTTCCTAAATCTTGGTCATGAGAAAAACAAGAACAAAGACTTTGCGTGGGCGGATACGATTCGCAGATATATGGTCCAACGTACAAAAAAACGGCCACAAAGAGATGACAGGTTAGAAGTTAATTTGTGGATGATGACTAGCAGTGGAATCCAGGATAGGCATTTCATCCTATTTGGGACTCGTCACTGGATGTACCTGCATTTCCCCAGTGAGTGATGCTGTTCCCACCGAGGCTCGAACCCAGTGCCCATAGTTTCAACGCCAAAGCGTTATCCACTAAACGACTTGGGCCACGAGAGCCACCTCTTGTGCAACAGGTCATATTAATTTAATTTAACTTTTTTAGATTTTCCCGTCAATTGATTGGACCAAAGTGCTCTGTCTCAGGTTCACATGTCGGCTTCTTGTGCAGATGCTTCGACAATGTCTGGGCATGTAATCAGAAGTTAATTTGTGGATAATGACTAACAGTGTAATCCGGGATTGGCATTTCGTCCTATTTGGGACCAAGCACTGCGGTCCAATCAATCGACGGGAAAATCTAAAATTTAATTAGATGACAGATTAGCTTTCAGCGAGAATACAACCAATCAGAAGACGCTGTTTCTCCGCTAGTAATAACGAATAATAGTGTACATAAAAATCTATAAATATCTGTTGATTTTCTCGATAGACGATCTGTCGCTTGGCCCTTATCTTCTGTCGTTAAGGAATGACCTTGAACTAACCAATCATATCGCTCAGTTTCCCCTAACCTTAACCCTGAATCAGGATAAAACTTGCAAAGAAGATTGCAAAAAGCATCCTCACTCGTAATGCTGAGCGATCTGATTGGTCGATTCAAGGTCATTCGACTTCGATGTCTATTCTTTACCGTTGCTATGTAACTCACACAATGAATTAATCAGAAATTCTTATTCTCACTGTCAAATGCTTACCTTGTAAACAAATAGTTGTAAATAAACCTTGAAGAAAGAATACTGCCAGTACCCACCAAAGATGTTCAATGAAAATAATTAATCCATGCGATATAATCAAACCGAATAGCCCAATATTCAATAGATTACTTGGCTTCGATGCACCACCATCTAAGTCCAATAGTACACAGCTAATTATCCAACCACCAATGTAACCAACACTTCTTGATGTAAATACTAAAGCGATTTCATCTTCACGTGAACTAGACAGTTTTTCTAGGTAAAGAATACTTGGTCCTATAATTCCTGTTGAAAGACCCTATAGGGAGAATTAATTTTCGTCAGTGAATCGAGTAGTAAACTTACAATTAAAAAGAAAATAATGATAAAGGCAATTTTACTTAGACACCTGATCACTGTCCAACCACCACCACCACCAACATGCGATGGCAGTGACCTCGGTACCGTTCGAGATACTTCAGAAGTTGGCATCCTTGCCAAGATTTTCTTGAAGCCGTGTCAATTGATAATGAGTAGTTGACGATGGAAGTTGGGCGGATCTGAAGAACAAAAAGAGATAGACTAATGTAAATAAGAGATGGAGAGACTGATGTGATTATTGTGCTAGACTATAGAACCACCGACACTAGCACTAATGATCCCACCAAGGATCGAACTCGGGACCTACAGGTTACGAAGCAAGCTCTGTTGACCATTCAGCCACAGGCAGAATACTCACCAACCACGCACACGGTCGGAGTTCGATTCCCAAGCGACGCCAGTGGTAAGTCCTGACTGACTGTTTTCAACATAGAACTTTCCACCGATGTGCAGCCATTCTAGTTGCCAGTCTCCCTTTATGTAGCACACAAAGCAAGAGAAGAAAGTAAAAGGGAATGCAAAATAGAGACAGTAAACAGAGATATGAGGCAAAAGGTATAGTAATAACGAAGAACCATATAATTTTATTGGAAATTATAAGTCGGAAGGAGTTGATGCATCTGCACCAGCCATCGAGAACGATTTTGAGCCATATCACCGATTGTGTCCAGCCAGTGGTGTTTACCGTCCCGAGGACCCCAACCAGGAAGTCTACACCTTCCTATGTGGCTTAAACTAACTGTTGTGTATTTCGCTGACTGATGACATGTTTTGGTCTGGTCACAGTGGTGAGTTCAGCATAAAGGGAAGGCTGAATGTGAGGATAGCAGCCCCAACGCGTAAAATAAGACACCATCACACTTAAAGCCTTGTGTTCTGCTCGGGACGCAAAGGAATAGAAAAATATTTGTACCAGAAAAACAACGAAGGTGAACTCAATTCTGACGACTTGTCAAAGTGTTTACAAAGTTCTCAGGTCTCTGTTGAGAAGAAAGAAAAACCTATAGTACTTTCAATTATTTATTTATTTTTACGGAGATGTGATTCACTGACATAAGCATTCGGTTTTTGCAGCCATTGATTTCAGAGTTAGAGTCCTGCTCAACTTAATTCAGTCTGGGAAAGTGAGTAGCATTACCCAACCTCAGGGGAAAGTGTACCTCTTAGTCCTGTACTTGCAAATAAATCTGTTCAAACAAACAAATATCTCCTGTTTCACAGGAAAAGGAAGAAAGTGGTTTCTTTTCGGGACACGCTTATCTCTTAGTCTTATAGGTGGCTTTCCATCAGCTAACTATATCCAATTTCTCAGTAGGAATGATTTCCTTCACGATGTGAAAGTGAAGCCAGTTACAAAGACTTGTCATGACATTAATTTCATTCCCTTCAGTTCCAGATGAAAAATAACGTTTCTGTGACACTTCTTCGTTTCACCTAATTCTTTGCATTCCCCTTTTTTAGCTAACTTCATGATTGTCCATAAACTTTCATCTCCTTCCCATGATCTCCTTCAGGTTACTCTCAGATATACGACCAATTAGTAGTTTTCTATTCTGGTACCACTAGAGTACCACTTGCAGTGTGATGTCATTCAACGATCTTCTTATCGTATGTCCAATCTACCTCGACTCTTCTCTCGGCAATTTTGCCGGGCGATAGGTTCTTGATTGCTTCATTGCTAAATTTGTTCATCCTTTCCGGCCTGTTATCTGATGAAAGTCTGCAGTCTGTTGGAAATGCCTTTGGTGACACGCTAATTTCACAAAAATATTCTTTGAATATACTCAGTGAAAATACTGAATTACTCATCTCTAATTACACAGTTTCTTTAGCAAGATGCTACATACTATTGATTAATGTAAGTAGTTGGGAATCACTTACAACAATTACTTGCAGTCACTAGCCAGATCGAAGTGCATTAACCATCAGACAATGGTATCATTTGTTACAGGATTTCATCGTGAGCTGACATTGGTTAGAGAACCATTGGGAAACCTGGGAGTACTGCCAGACAGCTGTTTCATCCTAGTTTGGAACTCTTCAACAGTACGCACCCACCACAGCAGGTTCGAACCCAGGATCTTCTGGTTACAAGGCGAGCTCGTAAACCATTAAGCCAGTGGGACCCGATCCAATGGCCCATGAATTGGCAGAAGTTAGAATTCATGGGCCATTGGATCGGGTCCCACTGGCTTAATGGTTTACGAGCTCGCCTTGTAACCAGAAGATCCTGGGTTCGAACCTGCTGTGGTGGGTGCGTACTGTTGAAGAGTTCCAAACTAGGATGAAACAGCTGTCTGGCAGTACTCCCAGGTTTTCCAATTGTTCTCTAACCAATGTCAGCTCATGATGAAATCCTGTAACCAATCAAATCCCTACAAACTAACACTTAAATGGTGTAATTTGTTTGGAGCAGACCTCATCAGAAGTGTATCCGGTTGTGGATTCAGCTTATAGAGCCTAATCAGTTCAAGTCACTCAAATTATAGGTAGCTGATTTGTCAACGAGCTTGCCTTGTAACTTAAAGGACCTGGGTTTGTTTCCCCATGTGGAGCCAGTTTTGCAGACTGCTGAACAGTCCCAAACAAGGACGTGACAGCTGTCCAATACTCTCTGGTTTCCGAAGATCCACTAATTAAGGTTGGTTCGTCGTCAATCTTGAAATGTGCAATACAATACAATAGAATCGAATTCATCGTTTGTAAATTACAAAATTAGACGTGTAAATTTAACACAATTCACAATAACGTTTACGTATTCAATGTTTTTACCATCCTTGAACACTATATTAACCCTGTATTTATTCATTTTTCCTCTTATACTCATATTTTGGGATGCCATTACAAAGTACAACTACTGAAATCAATACAATTTAGTGCATAGTTCCATTTTCATTTATCAGATTTAAATACGAATACTTCAGAATTCGTATACAAAGTTTTTTTAAACTCAAATACCTTAAAGATGTATTTTTAAATATGAGGCTAAGAAGCACACTAACTGTTTAAGGGCTGATGACACTACCTAATCGATTAAGCTGGAAGCCCGACCGATAACTGCTACCTTGACGTAATGGTCGGGCTTGCACATCGCGATGACCCAACAAGCTGCACTGGCTGGAACCAATGTTCCTGCAAGTCCTACTATGCCAGGAAGGTTGTTAGGATAGCGATTAGACTAAAAGCAGTTACAGACATTGTGTAAGAATCTGTCTTACACTATGCTGGGGGTCTGAGGGCGAAGTCGTACTGCTGGCGAACAGGGGTGTAACAGCAGTGAGGTGTTTCCCTCAGATGACCAGCATGCCAGCTATGCTGTCTCTCCACTTCAGAGATAGGGGGTTAGAAAAGGTCGACCCCAAAATTGTACATCCCGACTTATTCTACGGTGATCCGTAACCGGCGGTAAGTTTACTAATACGGAATCAATACCAAAAACCAGTTCATACAGGCCGTGTGTGACCGGCCTCAAGCAGTTGTCCCCTGGGCTCTGCGGTCACGTGACACTAACCCTCTTTCTGTTTTAGGTACCCAAAGAATCAACCAAATTACACGGTGTGGGCAGCCGGGAAGTAACAACCGCCCACACGCCTCCGAAAGCACACGAAGCCTTCCTGAGCATCATTCTCCTTTACTCACATCACCTTCCTCATCATTCTCCTTTAAGCTGTAAAGGGGGTGGAATATGAGGCTGACTCAGCTGACTCACAATCTAGTCTTTAAACCAATGAGTCATATATCTCCAGAATCTGTATAGATACTTTCATTTCGAAAGCTTGGACTATCGAATGTCACACCTGAATTCGGTTAGTTGGAATCCAATAAGTAGCCTATCGCCAAACAAATACTCCAAAGGAGATGGAAATGGATCGAACACATACTGAGGGGATTTTGTTGAGTAATATCACGCGCAAGGCCCCGAATGGAGAACAACGAGTTGGGCATTACTCCAAGAGTGACATAGAGCAGATAGTGTGATGAGACGATAAGAGCCTATAGGCAATCGTGGAGCCAGTTAAAAGCCACTGCAGAGAAGAGGATACAGTGGAGTTGTACTGTAGAAGCCCTACGTTCCACTCGGAACCCAATAATAAGTGAATAACTCACAATTTATAATCCCTAGACTATTAGACTGCTGAAGAGTCCTGAGGTGGCAAAAAACCTGAGATACTCTCTAGTTGATGTTTAATCGTGGCAAAATACGCCAAAACTGAAATTTTTATCAGCTATTCGCCTCAACGGATTTTCATACCACTAGCATCGACCACGCCAAAAAATGTAACAAGAATATTAGGATGGAAAATAGTTCAAGATTAGTACAGTAGATTATGCGCCAGATGGTGGGAACCGAGAAGACAGGGATATCCTGGACCGACGTGAAGAACCTAGAAGACCTGGATTTCGCGCGTGGATGATTTATGTTTGATGTCACACAAAATCGAAGACCTACAAGCGAAAACTGACAAACTGGTCGAAGAAGCAGCAAAGACAGGACTCCAGGTGAACATAAACAAGATGGGGGTTATGAAAATAACTAACCAACAACAACAACAACAGCAGCGAAATCCAGCGCCAATCACCATCAACGGGAGGGATTTGAAAAAGGGTACTTCATTCACTTATCTAGGGAGCATTGTCTCAACTACAGGAGGAACGGACGACGATGTCAAATCGAGAATCGGGAAGGCGAGAAACACATTCATCAACCTGAAACTAATCTGGAAATCTTCGTCACTCCTCAACATCAACAACAAAATTCGGATTTTCAATACAAACGTCAAGTCAGTCAGTTCTTCTATACGGATCAGAAACTTGGCGGGTCACCAAGAATATTTTCAACAGGTTGCAGACCTTTATCAATAACAACGGTCTTAGCTCTATACTGAAGATCAGATGGCCGGAAAGAATCACCAACAAGAGACAAACTATAGGAACAAACAAAACAAGAACCAATCGCCCAACAGATATACAAGAGAAAGTGGAGATGGATTGGACACTCGCTGAGGAGGCTGCCGGGTGACATCGCGCATCAGGCCAACGCTCGAGTGGAACCTGAAAGGGAAGTGGCGAGTGGGACATCCAAGGGTGACATGGAGGAGATCGTGTGAAGAAGAGTTGAAACAGTATGGACTAACATGGACGCAGGTGAAAAGTACAGCAGAAGAGAGAAGCAAGTGGA